ACATTTTTTTTTAGGTTAAAACTAGAGTTTTTATTTATTTATTTATCTTTAATTTTAATTTTTTAATTGAGGTAACATTGGTTTATAACAGTATATAAATTTCAGGTGTACCTCATTATATTTCAATTTCTGTGTAGATTACCTGATGTTCACCACCCAAAGACTAATTACCATCCATCACCATACACATGTTCGAATCACCTGTTTCACCCTTCCCCCTCCCCTCTTCCCCTCTGGTAACCACCAATCCAATCCCTATCTCTATGTTTGTTGTTTTTATCTTCTACTTATGAGTGAGATCATATGATATTTGACTTTCTCCCTAAGAAAGAGAAAGATCTAAGAGGATAGATCTTAAATCTTCTCAACACATACACACAATGGTAACTATGTGAGGTGATGGACATGTTAATTAGGTTGATTATGGTGATCATTTCACAATGTATACGTATATCAAACCATCAAGTTGTATACCTTAAATGTATACATTTTAAATGTCAATGGTATCTCCACGAAGCTGTTAAAAAGAACCAAAAGCCCTCCAAAAACCAGGCACTGTGGAGCTAGCTGGCCTGGGTTTGAGTTACGACTCTGTGTTTACCAGCTGTGTGACCATGAGCACGTTCCTTGACTTGTTGTTCCTTGGGTTCCTTATCAGCAATTGTTGTGCAGATGAGAGGAATGGATGGCTGTAAAGTCCCTGGGGGCAGTGCTCAGCACAAAGGAAGTACTCTTTAGTTACTTTTATACTTTCAGTTATTTTCTCAGTCTCTGGAGCCTCCCGACCTTATGGAAGCAGCCCAGGCACTCCACATGCTTTGATACTATTCTAATTTTCTACATGGCAAAGAAATTAAGTCCCCATAAAATGCAATAATATCACACTTCCTTTCTCTTCATTCCAAGCATTCTCCCTAGGGATTCTAAAGCATCTAGTAATCCCCCTTCAAGCAGAGCCCATCACCAGTGACGCCATTGCCTACGCTGTCAGTCTGCTCTAATTGTAAAGATAAAATAGGTCTGTAAAATAGAAAGTAGATGTACACTGACGAGAACTGGCAAAAGTCCCAAATGGAGTCTCAGTATTTAACCAATATAACCCGATTCATCATCTTGGGTATCAAAGTGGCCGTACTTCCTCACTTTTTAAAGTAACTGTTTGAATCCCCCTCCCACCCAGCCAGAAATCTAATATTCTCTTGAGGTCTTTACCTATCCTTGAGTTGTCTAAAACTTTGGGGGCTTCAGGGCCAATTGGGGGTGAGTCTTCTTTCTCAAGTTAACCAGAGACCGAGAGACCACGAGTCCTTTGCGGCAGTGGCTTCTGGCTGCCCCATGGTGTCGCTTTCAATGGTTGGTCTTCACAGTTGGAAAGACATGAAGGCTGGGATCATGTCCTGGCCATGGTGGGGACACGTTTGGCATCAAGCTTGTGGTTCTTTTCTAAGTACACTACCTTGAAGTTTTGTCTAGGTGTCTGTCTCTACCTCCAGATTATGAGCTTGTAGAAAGCAGCAATTTATTATTTTATTGAGGAATATTTGACAATTAAAAATTACATATATTTAAGGTGTACAGTTTGATGATTTTGATACTAGCTCAACATGAGCTTGATATAAGGGAAGCTGTTTTTGTAGAAAGGGAGCCATATTGTAACTAAGGATAACCTCTAAGTAATTAACCCAGCTGGACATACTCTGGCTTCCATGTAGGCTAGATAATAAATAACTGAAACATAAAGAAAATTGCATGCATTATGACTTATGACCCCTGCTTAGCTTTATATCTCCCAGCTGCAATAAGACAGTAACTTTGTTCTTTTGAGTTCCTTAGAGATGTAGCGACCGCTAGTCTATGGTGCCAGGTGGACAACATTCTTGACCCTCTCCTCCAGTGATCCCCGGAGAGAGATTCTACACTGGTATACATCATTAATGACAGCTGAAAGGTCTGGTGTGGTGTTCCGCCCAGTGTATAGCGCCAGATGGTGTGGTGACCCCCAGACTGCAGGGCCAGATAGTCAACATTCCGGACTCCCTCCTCTATAGTCCACTTGCCTTATATAACTGCTTCAAGATTCTGTATTCTCTTTAAGATGGTTCTTTAGGACACAAGTCCACCATCTTACAATTAGCTGGCTTTTTGCTTAATAAAAGTCCTTTCTCTACCACCATCTTGCCTCTTGACCAATTGGCTTTTGTCTTGTGGTAAGCAGATTGTGCCCTTTACCCAGGAACAATTTGATGTACATAATACATTGTGAAATAATCAGCACAGTCAAGCTAACTAACACGTTAATCACCTCAGATAGTTACTTTCATTTTTTGTGAGAATACTTACGATTTACCCTCTTAGAAAATTTCAGGTATACAATAAAGTGTTGTTAACTATATTGTATATATACAATAAAGCCACATTGTTGTACATTAGATCTTCAGAATTTATTCATTTTGTATCATTGAAACTTTGTATCCCTTGACCAACTTCTCCCCATTTTCCTCTCCTCACAGGCCCTGGTAACCACCTGTCTACTCTGATTCTATGAGTTCAATTTTTTTTAAATTCTACATACAGTGAAATTATGCAGTATTTGTCTTTCTGAGTCTGGTTATTTCACTTAGCATAATGTCCTCTAGGTTCAACCACGTTGTTCAAAATGGCAAATTTCTCTCTGTTTTATGGCGGAATAATATTCCATTGTATATACATAACACATTTTCTTTATCCATTCATCCATCAATGGACATTTAAGTTGTTTCTATTCTGAAAAATACTGAAATGAACACAGAAGTGCAGATATCTCCTCAAGATTCTGATATTTTCATTTCTTTTGGGTATATATCCAGAAGTGGGATTGCTGGATCATAAAGTAGTTCTATTTTTAATTTTTTGAGAAACCTTCATACTGTTTTCCATAATACCTGTACCAATATACTTTCCTATCAACAGTGTACAAGGGTTCTCTTTTCTCCACACCCTCTCCAACACTTATCTTTTATCTTTTCGATAATAGCCATTCTAACAGGTATGAGGTGATATCTCCTTGTGGTTTTGATTTGCATTTCCCTGATGATTAGTGAAGCTGAATATCTTTTCATATACCTGTTGGCCATTTGGATGTCTTCTCTTGAGAAATGTCTACTCAGATTCTTTGCCCATTTTAATTATTTTTTGCTATTGAGTTGTAGAGTTTCTTATATACTCTGGATATTAACCCCTTTTCAAATATATGGTTTGCAAATATTTTCTCCCATTCTGTTGGTTGCCTTTTTACTCTGTTGATTGTTTCCTTTGCTGTGCAGAAGCTTTTAAATTTAATGTGATCCCTTTTGTCTATTTTATTTTTTTTGTGAGGAAGATCGGCCCTGAGCTAACATCTGCCAATCCTCCTCTTTTTGCTGAG